CTGGTTGCTATTCATCCTATTAATGTCTGCTTCCAATGTGTGTTCTTTGACCTTCCACTTTTCATTTCCCCTTCAGGATTTCAAGTTAGAGATGGCCCTGTGATGCAGTTTGATGATTTCCGCAATGTCTGTCCTATCCATTTCCAACGTCTTTTCCTAATTTCCTCCATATCTTCCTGAATAGAACGTGGAGTATTTTTACAGTTGGTTCTGTGTCTGAATTTGGTGCTTCGGTTGGTATATTGTCAGGACCTTCTGCTTTCCCACTGTTGATTTGTCAGATGGTCATGCAGGTTTCTTCGATCGTTGATAGAGCGACATATGTAGAAATGTGTACGCGTGTGCTTCGCTGTTTAGTGGATTTAATGGAGCTACTTTATTCAAGAGTTCCTCAAAGTGTTCTACCCATCTGTTCCTATGTCCTTGAACCTATGTGATTATCTTGCCTTGTTTGTCCGTGACTGGTCTCTCTGGTCTACTATATTTCCCTACCAGTTTCTTCGTTATATCATATAGTTGTTTGATATTTTCTTCTCTTGCAGCCTTTCCGTTGTTGTTGCTATATCTCCCCCACATTTCTGCTTGTCAGTTCTAATGCTCTTCTTCACTTGCTTGTTTGCCTTGACGTTCTCTGTTCTTGTTCGGCTGTTGTTAATTGCTGTCTTCTTGTCCTTCATTTCTTGAATCTTGCCCTGGGTTTCGATAGTGATCCATTCCTTATGATGATGCTTTTTGCGGCCCAGAACTTCCTGACACGTTGAAGTTAGTGCTTCTTTGATAAATTTCCAGTTGTCCTCCACATTAGTTTTTTCTTCTTTGAGTAGATCTTGTGAGGCTTGGAATTTGTTGTCGAGAGCTCTGTTGAATTGGTTGAGTTTGTCAATATGTCGAAGGAAGGGTGTATTGAACCTTTGTAATGATGCTTTTCCCGTTGTCCATTGATTTTTTAGCTTCAGTTTCAACTTGGCAACCACCAGTTGATGGTGATCCGAAGCTATGTCAGCTCCTCCCCTGGTTCTCACGTCTTCCATTGAACTTGTGTATTTTTTACTGATGCAAATATGATCTATCTGGTTCTTTGTGGTATGGTCTGGTGAAACCCATCTAGATTTGTGTATGCGTTTGTGTGGGAAGATCGTGCCGTCTATAACCAATTTGTTTAATGCATATAAATTTGCAAATCTCTCCCCATTTTCCTTTCTTTCTCCTAGTCCATGTTGTCCCATAATATCTTCATAACCGTTGTTGTTCATCCCGACTTTGGCGCTTAGATCTCTCATCAGGATGGTCATATCCTTTCTCGGGCTCTTCATTATAATCGATTGCAGCCTTTCGTAGAACTGATCTTTATCGTCGTCGTTGCCATTATTGGTGGGTGCATAACGTTGGATAGTATTCATTTTAATTCCCTGCTCCTTTGTTTTGAAGAATGATTTGATGATTCTGTATCCACGTGATTCCCATTCAGCAAATGTTTGTCGTGACCATTTGGATAGCTTCAGAGCAACTTTCTAAGTGTGAAGCATTTTCCTCTTTGTGACCGGAGTACAGTAGCATCTCTACCGAATCTATCCTTTTCTGTTCAGTTTGGGTTCATTGTGTGTCACTTATTCCGAGTACTGCCAAGTTGTATCTCCTCATTCCCTTTGCTATTTGGCTGGTCCTTCCGGTCTTCCACATTTTCCGGGTGTTCCATGTACCTAGAAGAAGTGTTGCTCTGGTTATTAAACGGGGCATCTGTCTCGTGATTTCCAAAGAATCTCGGCTTTCCTCAGGAGGCGTCATAATTCTTCCTTGAACTCGGAGGGCAGATTTTATATGGTTTAAATTGTTTATTCTAGTCAGTGGGTTTTTTTTATCAAGGTTGTTTTGTACGGGATGAAGTTGCTGACCACCACACCCAATCTTTCTCCTCTACCTGGGATTGGGACTGGCAGTAACTCTAGAAGAGCTACAGGTGGAGTTAACCTTTCAAATACTTATGTATTTTTGACGTTATTTTTACTCTATGTTGGGACGACGTCGAAAAGCATAATGAAGCCTCCATAAGCTATAAAGGAGCTAAATAGATTAATCCAATCAGAACCTGATAGAACCTTTTGAAATATCAACGTGGGATGCTATGATTAGACATTTGCATGACTTTTCTAATTGCGGATTCGCTTGATTATAATGATGTTACAGCCTATACTAAAAATTAAGAAATACCCCTGTTTTTCTGTACTTTTGTGATTCTTACCCAGTGACCGCTCCCTCTGCTTCTTTTGTCTTTTGATTTGCGACTATGAGGGTTCCACAAGTTCGAGTGCCGACAGTTGTATACCGTATCCTACCGTAATCGAGTAGAGGACGAAACAATCTAAACTTGTGTTTACTGGTAATGAAAATGATAACACGGAATCCCCACGTTTATTGTTTGACTCTAAGCCTTATTGATGCCGACCAATGCTTTTTTACTCAGTCAGCAGGTTATAATGAACTTAGAGCCTGGCACAACTAAATTCATCTTAAATTCTCTTGTAACCTTAAACTAGGTTATTCCAGTTATAAAAATGTATCTAAATATTCAGCAATGAATAAGTTTATATAAACATTATGAATTGAACTTTAAAGAATTTTGCAGCGCTTTAATACATTTTTGTTGTATTATTAGTGATTATTATCCTGCTAACTAAATGGTTTGCCCCAGCTTGCCATACCACATTAGCACTACAAGATAAGGTTACTAAGATGAGCGGGAAAAAATCAAAATAATCCATTTGCAATAATAATGGCTGGACATTAAGATTATTGTTTGAAAAGGCAGAGTGAAAAAGTATGTATAAAATATTTTAAGGGGGAGAAAGACAAAAATGCATTTGCTCTATTGTGGACGTTTGTGAGTTATGGCCTAGTGGTCAAGGCGTTCGACTTTTAGTCCCAGTTTCAGATCCCATTCCATCTACGTTGGCTAGGTCAACTTAGTAATATCACTAGTCCTCACTCGTAATTGTGTTTCAAAGCCATGTATGTTAATAAAAGTATATGGTAAGCTGGTAAGTCAATTTCCGAATCTATCTAATTTTGGAATGTAATTGTGTTAAAATTAGTCATTTTTGTAGTTTCGTAACAAACAACTGTTGAATCGGCTAGAATTTAGCATTCAATGTGTAGTCTCGGTTTATATAAATTGATTTCAGCATACATTTAACAAGAGTTGTATATCATTAAATCTTTTGTGCAAATAAAAATTATCAAGAAGAATCATTTGAATATTTTAAAGAAACTTTCAATTCACGTTTTTATTTTATTAAAAGTATAAGTGGATGAAATGCGTTGTTTGAAATGATTAAAAGACTTCTGAAACACTAGATATCTTTATCATACATGATAAAGGTTCAAAGTGTTTAGTGTCTATGAGGTTTTTAAGATGTTTAATTATGGTCACTAATCACGTGAGTTTTCAGATTGTCGGAATATCCCCCAACATATTTTCTCTGTATAAAAATGTGATACTTTTACTCCTGCTTATTATTTGTCTCTAATTTCAGGATGCAACCCGATAAGTGAGGCTATTTGTTTCATTAATTTGTTTAATTCCAATCGACAATGAAAACTTCCTTCAATCAATCATATGATGGAAACGACAACGAAGAAAAGAAATACTAGATCTTATAAGTTCATATTTTTCTTTATTAAAATAATGACTTGATTTTACCAGTCATTGCCTACTATTTTAATTATTTACTTAATTACTATGAGTCTTCCATTCATCATTGTTTTTCTTTCGAAATTAATTCATCATATATTTTTCGTTGACACCATATTTAGAAAATTCTTTTCTAGTTTATTCTCTTTTCTCGTTTTGACCAGTTCTTTCAGTATGTAAAATTCACACTAACACTACAACACTCACTGTAAGTATACAAATATTTCAAGAGTTTGGATAAAAGCGTTTAAGAATTTTTTTCGTTCAAGTTAATCCGTTGTGTTTCAATGTTTTACTAGCTATTTACTAGCTATCTATTTATATAACTAAGTTTTTTCCATCTTTGTCACTTCCCGCTCTCTTTTTGTTAAGTAGTTAAATGGATTGTTTCTTATTTTCTCCAATTGTTTTATTGTTTAATCTACAGTTTCAAAATACTGAATGAAGGAAAGATTTCATCTAGTTTTTTTTTCTCTGATTTTTGTTTTGTATATGAGTACTTTTTGTTTTTAGTTGGTTGGTTTCTTTTAGTTATACACACTGTGCACCAACGATGTAGTGTAGATCTTTTTATTAATGAATAATTGTAAAACAATTATTCATGATTCTTATAATTGGATATTGACTCTAATTTTGTTGTATATTTGTATGTACAGGAATGTGATAAGTAATAAACTAATGTTCGATCCCATTTTTGTTTTAATATAGTTTAGTTTATGTATTTATGATGAACATAAGAACGAAATAAATAATATAGAAGTGATGCTCGTATCTCGTTCTCTTTAATATAAACTGCATAGTAATTGTTAGAATCATATCCCTTCTATCCAGTTTCTAATAAGATTTTGACTGCATGATATATATATAATCAAAATTATTTCTGATGACGAATCTCATGGATTATGTCATTGGTTTTTTTGTGAATAAATCCGTATGTCTTAACTTTTGGGGGACAATATTCATTCTTCACTTGGATTCAGACCTTAACGATTCGCAAATTTAAGTAATTTTCCAATCGATCAATAAAATATATACTTCATTTGGTATTTACTCCTTTCGTCCATTTGATTGTTACTGCTTTTTTTTCTTTTTACCTGGTGCCTAATTACCTTTATTATTCTCATTTACTAGTTGTATGTTAGGCGTTTGAAATAGTCATTTACTCTGAAACGGAACAATACAGTATCACATGTATTCATTCACCTAATTCAAAACGTTTACATTCAACTGAATCACCATCCTCATTAAATATATATATATATATATATATATATATATATATATATAATGTAAGAGGTAAGAGAAAATGCTAAAGGTATGCATAGAATTATTATTATCTTTGTCTCGATAGCCTTACATAATTTGATTTAAGAGAAGAGCAGGACTGAAAGTTTTCAATTTTTGAACTGTTTATATTACTTGTAGTTTTTCAGTAATTATTCATACCATAAAGCGTAATATGATAGTTTTTATTTGTTGTATGTATTGTGTTTGTATGTGTGCATATATGTGTATGGTTCATATGGACTGATAGTTGTACATTATATATTCATCATTGTAAAATAAAGTTGTTTTTGAGTTGTTGTTTTTTTAATAAAACAATTTTACTCTGTTTATGTTCACATATTTCTGTAAATATGATGACATGCTTGTTAATTATTTTTAATTAAGTGATAAATACAGTTTGTTGTTTGTTTATTACTGTGTATGTACAATTTGTACAAACATCATATGAAAAATGGAGTAGTAGTATAGATTTTATTTTAATGTTCTATCATATTTTTGTTCCTTATAATTAAGATTTGTTTAGTGGTATTCAGGTAAATATACTTTTATTATCAAAATATTTTGTTTATATATTGACACTTGTACATTGGTATAGTTTAGTATGTAATTATGAAATAATATAAAGTATAATGATGCTGGGCACCGGTTGTTTGTTACTGGTTTTTTTTAGTGCGTTTAAGTAGTTTTTCGAATACATGTGTAAATGCTGATAACAAAATGAGCATATATGTCTTTGTGTAGAGGAGAGAGAGAGAGAGAGAACAAGAGAGTTATCAGAACTGAAAAAAAGGAAAATCAATAAGATAAACTACAAATAATTTTGTTTTGTTCATTTTACCCGCTAGAGAAACAATCCTGAGGTCAAACAGTTCTAAGTGTAGGTTAATGACCTCATTTATTATTGTGCTATTTTTGGTTATCTTCTGTACTTGTATAAATGCATTGTTTTTTATTGATTAAGAAAATAGGTTAGAGAATTTCTCGTTTTGAAAGTTTTTCAAAGAATCTTTTGCGGATGAAATCATTTGTACATAACGTTGACATGATTGACAGCATTGATAACGATATATTGTAAATTTGCATAGTTCTACCCTCTTTGAACAGTGTTTAGACATGTCAACACAACCTTGAATACAGTAAAAGGAAGAAGAAAGCGATTAAAATTGTCCGCAATAAGTTTATTTCAATCATTAATGTGATAAATAGAGTAGAATGAGTTATGAAGTGTATCTAAGATGTTTTGTCATACGGTTTATTCGTAATATATATTGATAGCTTTCCCTGTTTCCAAAATCGACAAATAATGCACTATAACGAAAGCATTTGAAGTAATCTGTATAAAACTTGTCTAATCCATCGAATTATGGTGGCAATTGGCTTCTTACCTTGAGCTATAACCTGGCACTTGGTTCTTCTACTAAACTTCGTATGCTTGATCAATTCAATTACGTAGTTCGAAAACAAGAAAATAGGAATGTGAAGTGAATATTTAACTTATGGGTGTTTATAAGTAGACAAACTATTCTGGAAGCTTGCATTAGTTGAACAATATGTCTTAATCTTAAGGTTACGACTAACTAGTTCCCGTTGGTCACTCAAATGACTCCGTGCCTAATTCTCTGGTCTTCACACTAAAGTCCAGTTCGTATCAGATTACTTGGAGAACGAGTTTTGTAGAGATAATTCACATAGTGATAAAATTTGTACTCCATCAGATCCTTTGGGGTGTTTTTTATTAGTTCCTCTTTTGATCTGATGCTCTAACTTGATAGGGCACAATGGAGTTTTTCATTTGGCTTTTATAATTTGGTTCCAAAGATTTGATTCGATTACCGGATTAACATGGCTGAACACTGGTGCTTTGAGGGTCCTTCTACTAATTCCCATGAAAAGTAATTTAGAATCGATAAGTCTTAAGTATCCCATCGAAGTTATAAATGCAAACGGTTCAAATATCACATGAGGTGATGGAATTCAGAACGCAACTACTTAATAAGTCTGTCGAAACACGTCAGTGTCTTCAAAAATTAGTTGGTGGTTTCAATTTCGGTTTCTTTCCATTCAATAACGTGTTTCGGTACTAATTACCTTTACTGTTATTACCACTTAACAAAAAAGTGAACTGATTCATCCCACTTACCTAATTTACATGGAGGTACTTCGCATGATCGTATCACATCTGGAATAGCAAGTTGATGGGAATAACACAATGAACCTGCCAATTCACCATTATGTGACCAAGTACACAGAAGGTGTCTAGCTTGAACACCAACTCCACCACATGAACGTGAGCACTAAAATAAAAATGAATGTACTTTTTCCATAATATATTTTCAAGTAGCCCTAATTTAACTAGTGATACTTTATGACACAGTGTAAAGTAAATAAGATAGTGCGTTTTTGCTAATCTATAAGTTATCTCAATTGTTTTTAGAATTAGAAAGATTGTAGCTGGATGGATCATATTCCAACTGCTTAAATCATTAAATCTTTACAGATTTATTGACGGATTTACTATGATTCATATACTTTATTTTCTGTGAATAATTGGTTGAAAGCATCTGTGAAGAGATTTAACTCGAATTGGCCTTTTTGAAAGCTTAACAGAAAGTATTTGATTACCATACAACTTGTTGATTCATTGACTGAACAAAGTGATACACTGAGTGTTAGTTGTTTTTACCACTCTTACCATGATTATCTGTATTTGAAACATTGAAGAGTACGAGTTGAGGGAATATATTTTCTTTTTCAGTTAGTTTCTCGTCATGCCTGCCCACTAATCTACAGGTCTTAAAAATAAGTATAAAATGAATACTAAATAAATGGTAGTTTATTAATTCTACAATTCACTCTTTGAAGAAGTAACTTAAACTAACCTAAGAAACGTTAGACGTTTAGCTTTCTTTTCATTGGGATTCAACCAAAAAGTTTTTTACTATTTTTACTACAAAGGTATCTCAATATTTTCTCTAAATATAGTAATCAGTTACTGAGGCAATGTATGCAAGATTTAAATGAAGACAAAATTACATAATTGACTGATTATTGCAGCTGGTTGCACAAGACTAAGAATAGGATTTGAATACATTTGAAATAAATGACCTTAATGTAAGAGTCTAGTATTATTTGTAGTAGTACTGATGAAACGGATGCAAGGATAATTGGGTTGGTAAACCAGCTTACTTAGGACCATTAATCATAAAATTAGAAATTTAAGTTTAAAAAAGTTAGGTAGTGTATGTGTAATTTCTCGAAATCAAGTAGATGGCCAGAATCTATGAAATTTCAAAAATATTTCCATATACACCCAGATTATTTTTGTTCCTATGGCTTCTGATGTAGATAAGAGACGAAATCTCAAAACATGACAAATCTGATAGAAATTTCAAGGCTAACTTGGTATCTATTTTTCGACGAACACTAAATAAATACTCAAGAACAGAGTCTCATCGCTTTATCTAGGTTTTAGTAAACCTTGGAAGATGGTGTTAAGGAATGCGATGATGTATTTCTCTGGTTGTACAACGAACTCTACAGGAGCTTTTGAACTGGTAAACATGCATACGGCTGGTTCTGTTTTCTACATTATATCTACATACACACGATAAGATTTTTGTATAAAGGCCCAATATCATTACGTTATGTCAAATTAGAAATTCTCTGGTTAACATTTAAGGGATCGGTTTGTATCAATAATCAGATTAATTAGGTGACGACAAGAACAACTAACTTACTTGAGACCAATTACTAACGTTCCATCGTAGTTGACATATAGGGTTTTCACATTCCATATTTGGTTTATCTAATTTATCGCAATATTTTGTGGCGACTGTTCTCTCACCAATCATACAGACTAAATTTCCACTAATTGAACCTTTACCGACATCTAAACACCGATCTGTACACTTGAAGTATTAAGAATTCATACAAAGAAATGGTTGAGTTAGTTTAAAAAAGCAACTTCATGTTATCGACGAAATTTAAGTCATCTAATATAAAGAATAAAAAGAAAGAAACATGTGCACCACTGAATCTCGGTTCAGTGTTCAAAAGTGAGTCGCTTAGGTTCAAAATCGAATGTCCTGAGTTCTATCACCTATGGTGGAATCGTACATGAGCACTACGAATAAGGAACTTCCTAGCAAGAAACAGTTGTTCAGTGCTTCCTGATTCTCAACAGTGGCCTAGCTATGTTCAATCCGTGATTTGAATTATGAAAAAATAAATCTGGTAGTTATTTTCTAAAAGTATTTTATCTCACCAACACTGAAAATTGAACAAACAAAGTGCCCTATTGATTAATAGTGTACAATTTAATGGATATTTCTAATTCATATTCTATTTCCGTAATATATCTATGTAGTTCAACTTCCTAAGCTTTTATGCGTCGAACAATTTCTGAACATACAACAAAGGTAACTAGAAGATCGGTCAATTTACAAAGTATTTGGTTACAGATCGTGCTTCTGTACCTACTTCAATTTAAACGGATGTATAACGTACTCTGTTTCATTCACACTGTATCTTCAAAACCTAGAATTGACCTAATACTTGATTAGAATTATGAGTTTTTTTGTTTGCGAAAAAATAAAAGTTTTTGATAGGTATCCTTGTGGTGCATAAGTGAGTAGGTTATAACCAAAAACAATTTTCAACATGATATAAAAATTTAGTAAATTTGTTATCATTCGTAATTTTCTGTAGCACCTTTGTGCCATAATTATGATTCCTAAGATATCATCATTATTTATCATTGATTTTAGAATAAATACTTTTCAGAAAGAGGATTTGTGGATATTATAGTAATTTAATAGTTAGGTTCATGAGTCAATTGAAGCTAGATTTGTTCTTGTAGGTTAACTAATTTCTCATAAATGTTTATAGATTATGTTGGATTGATTACCTTTAAATCATGAAGTTGTAAATAGTGTTATATTTACTGTAAACTTTGTTCAATTGTGATCGGAATTTAGAAAAAAGGATAATCAAATAATTCATTGAAGTAGTTTTATAAGTCAGTTAGTTCATCTGTAAACATGACAAGAAATTTTACTTTCTTGAAGATATTCAATATTTTTGGAAAGTATTCGTTCAAAAAATTTCAATAGTTGAAATCATGAGTCGATCGAAGCTAGACCACCATGGAAAACCCAGAGGCACTGGACGGCCGTTTCGTTTTAGAATGGGAATCCTCAGCAGTGCATGTCAGCGATCCGCCCCCGCGAAATTTGAACCCAGGACCTATCAGTCTCGCGCGCGAGCGCTTAACCATTAGACCACTGAAATTATTAGAATCTCGACAAAACCCCTTCCGACAAAAATGTTCTCTAATATTTTGATAGAAAGCAATACTACATGATAAATGAGTTTAAAAATTTATTATTCTTAAATGTTAAAGAGAAAATTTCTTTTCCTGTGTGGTTACAAATAAAATAAAGATTAGATATTCCGGTTTGTAACTGTTATTATCCATATATTTATTTGTTAATATGAGACAATATATTCTCATGTAATTATCTTATGTAAAAATTGATTGATGTTCATTCATTAAATTAGTTTTAATTCTATCTTGCTGTCAATAATACAAATTTAGGCCTATAAAGTTATGTCAAGAAGCTTAAAATATACTCAGAAAACATTCCCAAAGTATTTAATTGAAGTATAACCTGATAAAAAAAAGATAGTCACTTTTATCAGTATAGGGGTTGTGGAGATTACTAAGTTTTTGATTGAGATCATGAACCGATTTGATGTTAGACCACCGTTGAAAACCTGGAATCACTGGACGGCCGTTGGTTGGATGCCGGCTCAGTGGTCCAGTAGGTTAGACATTCGCGCGCGAGACTGAAGGCCCTGGGTTCGAATCTCGCGAGTGGGATCGTGGATGCGCGCTGCTGAGGAGTCCCACAATGGGACGAAATGGCCGTTCAATGTTTCCAGGTTTTCAACGGTGATCCAACATCAATCGTTCATGATCTCAATAAAAAATAACCACTTTTATTGGTTTAATTCACTTGCAATACTAGAATGTACATTATGGTAACTCACAACAGATGTATCACGGTTTTCAACGAACCATGTTGGACATTTGTTACTTTCTAAACACTTTCGTGTACTTGGTGGTTTTGGCAATAGCTTATCAATGCATACTTGATCACTCAGTATTTGATAGAATCGACTATCAACTTTTTCACATCTGACTACACGAAATTGTTGTCCAGTTTGGCCACAACTTGTAGAACATGTACTCCATGGTCCAACAACCCATTGAATAATTTCATGGTTTATAGCTATTGCTTTAGGATCATCACTAAGCATACCTTTGGTCCATAATCTGTTTCTTTGCACCCAATCGTGGAATCCTGCTGCCGGAGTTCTAGCTGTTAGCGTGACTGTTGCATTCATTGAACCAGCTATGCACGTCCAGTCACCTTCGTCGATGAGACGGAAACTTCGTATGTGTAATCTTCCCCGTTTATCCACCCTTATCCTATCAGATATTGCTCCTGTATAGGCTAATATTCCATGGTTTGGATTAGCCCATTGTAATTCTTGTGCAGTGAAATACTGTACAGGACATCGTACGGTTACACGGGTAAATGGTATTACGAATGCTTGCTGGCCAACTTTTAAATCAATCACTTTCACCTAAAGTAGAAATAAATTACGAAAATATTTAGAACTTTTTAAAATCATTATTAAAAGGATAGACAGTAAAATGTGTTATTTCTTCCTTAAATGATTCGTTGAAATGGATTTGACAATAAATTTGGAAAATTTACCCTTGCTTCAACAACAAGTAGCTGTGTGAGATATTTAAATAAATATACGATTAATATCTTGAAAAAAACAGATACACACGAACGTATTTTATCTTGTAATTGCTATCGTTAATTTTTCCTTTCGTGGGATATCTCATGATCGCCACTCTTAGGGGAATTACTTCTGCAAAGTTCGTGGAGGACATTCGTGAAATGTATCAAGGTAACTAAAATATACTGGTTAATCGGATTCTAAATATTCTATCAGGAGTGAATAATAAGGTGATCGATTAAATATTATTATTTGTCGATCAAAAGTAGTCATCTAGTTTATATTACAGCCTGGACAAAACTATTTTACTTTATGCAATTTTACACAACAAATCCATTGTGTATCTAGTAATATAATTATTAAGTTCTATGGACAGGACAGTTCGGAAAATGTTTTCATATATTTACCAATTGTGCATGATATCTTCCAAGTGTTCATATCTACAGTAAAAAAGACAAACTCCTTTATTGAGCTTATATTTTGTTCGTAAGAAACATTTTGCCAAGTGTACCATATGACCATTAGGGCTGGTCAGACTTCCGAGGTAAGTGAAGTTGTCGACGCGTTCGATTACTTCACTCCCTATCCTTTGTTCAGGTGTTGTTGCAGACCAGTCCTGGAGCAACAACTTGCATTTAGAGGGAGAGAAGCGCGTATAGTCACAGACTGTAGTATTTCATGATAGTTTTATGAGTTTTTCAAGTTGAATGTTTGTATATTTTACCACAATAAACTAGCTTAATAAATATACGGAAATTTATGAATTACTCTGTAAGGGTAATCAAAATGTTATGATTATTAGATTGCTACATATAAACTAGTATAGCGGTTTATAATGAAATGGACTGAAAAAAGTCTCAGTTATGTACTAATTAAAGTTGTTTTTCAGCAAATTTACATATTTATTCAAAAATTAGTTAGTATTTATTACTCTGTAGGCTTTAGCGTATTTGTGACAATTTGTCCTAATTATTGGTTGCTTTTAGAAAGCTACTCTGTTTATGATATACTGTTAAACTTAATCATTTCAGTTATTTTCATAGAGTATTAGGTTATGGGTAATCTATAACCTGGATATGATAAATTCACATAAAGTCATATGTACATAAGAATTTATCAGTTCAAGATCTGATAAAATACAAAGTGAATATGCAGATCAATCAGACTTTATTGGATATTATTGAAAAAATTTAGAGTGATGTCTAATTAGTTGTTAAGAGCATTTCTCATCAATTTCCAAACATTGGGCGGTATAATAATGGAACCTGAAATTCTGTCTAGAATTTTACTACATTTTAATATAACCAGACACAAAAAAGTATACAAGTAGAAAAATTAAAGAAACTACTTTTCTCATCTGAACAATAGTTAAAGTGTCAGTATTAATCATTGGTGGTTTGCTGTCACATTTTCTTGAACTTTCTTCAAAACATCGACGCCATGTTGGTTGAATCGTTTTCCCAGTCATATAGCAAGCTGCCATTGGCAGTTCGCGAAGTGATCCATTGACTTGTACAGAAATACATGATAATTGACGTACTTGTCTGCCAGGACGACATGGATCACTTTGGATACACTAATGAAAAAAACATTATTGTAAAAATTCTGATGTATATTTGTATTGTATTTACTCTTTAAATAAATAAACTAAGGTCACTCAATTAGACTAGGAACTGAAGGCGAATCAATTCTGAACAATATATAGAACTAAGTAGTATGGTACAACTTATTAAAAACCAGTAATATGTAAAAGTAATCACTGAGAAATCAGAATTATGACAAATAAAATGTACTCTTTTGGAAGAACGTTTTCGACGGTGGTTTTAAAAATCTACTGGTTTGTCGATTTTATAATAATGTAATAAGAGTATACTAACTGACGTGCATTATTTGGTAGAGATTCTGTTGTTTCTTTCGGGTTTTACTCAGCATAATTTAGTGAATATCGAACATATTTTCTGTGTCTTTATAAGATTTTTAGCCAGTCATATATTATAACTAATTTTATTAAGAATTTAATCCATTCAATGAACTCAGTTATTGTATTTCCATGTTTATTAGCGTACAATTTCACATACAGCCCAAAGTAAGGCACAATCATAATAGTGTTTCATACGATGATGACATTCTAAATTTATTTGGAATTATCCTATTGTAATGACTAATTTGGTTGTATTTAAAGTTCAAACTGTAATATAAACCTGATCTAATAAGAACAAATCCATAAGCTATCCTTTTCCCACTGTTTTATCATTGACCGGAAACAGTAGTTTTAAGTTCAACTAAAATAAACGGTCTCTTCTAACTGCTCTTTAGAAAACTAAAATATTTAACGAGATTATACAAACACTGTGAACTATCTGACACAGTTTAGCTAACTAAAGATATTTAGGTTGATAACGTTGATTAGATGGGATACTTTAACATCACAGTCTTATTTCAATTGAGCTAGAATAACTGAACTACTACATATCTTTTTACTTAATCGCACAAAGCATTTCTATCTGAGAAAACGACTATATAAACATAAAACTGAGGTCATCAATTTATATTTTGCAGTATATTGAAAATTAATTTACAAAACGTATAAAAAGAACAAAAATGACCGTAAGTTAACATATATTCTAACTAGCTAAATGGTAAGTTATTCAGAGACAACTGTTTCTTTTAAACTTATAGTTTATAACTCACCTTACCCCATTTTTCGGGGACAAATTCAGGCTTACATGCAAATCGATTGCACGATGCATGTCTCTCAGGTTGTCGATAATTACCACAATAATAGGATGCATCGAAATCTGATATCACAAGATCACCGTCTTTGCCTGAATAAACACACTGTACATCACGAGACATTATACCAAGTCCACCACATGTTTGTGAACAATGTCCCCAGTTAGATACTCTCCATCGATATCCTTTACCGCACGGACCGAGTTTACATGCTCTTTGATTATTTTCTGTATTCTGTGCACTTGGATTAGGTAAATGTTCACATTGTGATTCATCTAACAGTGTCGTAGCATTGTAATGATCATTTTGAACACATAAAAATCGACGTGTTTCAACACCATCACCACATTCTTTAGAGCAACTAGACCAACTCTCCGAAGGCATCCAGAAAGGTGGAGTAACACTGGAAAAAAATACAGATTTTTATACCTAAAAATGTGTAGCATATAGCGTAATAATTGTAAAGATAGGTGAGAAAAAAGCAATCTGTATAGAGCGAGGAGTTTTTTCATGTGTTTACTTATCAATTCCCAAGTGATAAATATTAAGTGGATGAATCTCTAACAGTTCCATTTTGAGTAAGAAATAATTCCGAACAAACTTATTGATCTTTTTTCAACCAGTCAGCACTACATATGGATACAGAAGGTGCTAAAAATTTCTCCTGCAATTTTATATCATTTCTTTTTTTTCCTGTACCTTTTCCTAGGAATATATTTTGTTCCCAATTCATTCTTATCTACTACAGTAAAATGTATTATTCAGAGAGCGTGAGAGAGGGGAGTCTCTGCGGAACCAATTTAGTAAGTTAGAGAATAAAATTGTAGAATAAATGAAAAGGTAGATTATTAAACAGTTTAGATGAATAATAGTTGAGGAAGGTATTTGTCGAATTGATTATTTAACTATGTTCAGTCGACTAACCCATGTACTGAGTGTACGGTTGTTTATGGGGTCGCACAAATCTGTCATGATTTCTTCATTTTTATCTATTGGAAACGGTAGATTTGGGATTCCTTGAGATGTAACCTGGACTTAGCATACAAAGAAATATTTCTTGTCATTACCTTGGATTTGTCAATACATGAGCAACTTTAGCTTACTTTAGCGCTTATTTTTGTGATAGGCGGTTCGAGTGAAATAGATAACTAAAGAGGAATAACTTTGTTTCATCAAACCGATCAATCAATAATTTAATTGATGATTTGAGTGCCAACTGAAGAGTTGAGAACTCGGAATGATATCCTTTAACGTGTAGAACAAGTTCTAGACAAGGATGGAACTACTGTCCATAACTCCAATATTTTCTTTAGCTTATTTGATAATGTTAGCTTGCAATGTAATGTGTTTCACTGTATTCATTAATTTTACAAATTTTATTAGTTGAATTATTGTCATCAATAAAAAAACCTTTTTCCAATTCCCTTTTCTCTAAGTCTTGTATTTTTCCAAAGTAAATGAGAAAATATGTATCCCTTTGTTTGAAGTTTATTTTCCCACAGAATAACTAGATAATGCTAGAGAGTGCTGAATAACTATTTCATATAAGTTTGTGACTAGTAAGTATTCGCGGAGCAATATGTGATAGAATTCACAATCTTCCGGTCTTTATATTATTAATTATGTCTCATAACATTCTTTCTCTAACATAGTTTATATGAAAATTTAAACTTAGGGTGGTTTTTATAAAAGTTTGGTTGACTCATAAATTATTTTGTTACCAGTTAGATAATTTTTAGGATACTTAAGAAGAAATGACATTAAGAGATGTGCACCTAGTTGACAGTCAGAAAAACTAAAAACATAAACAAAATTTAATGTTAATTTAAAACAGTGAAAATTCCATTTTGACATTTGGTAGATAAAGAAGGAACGAATCGAGCGAAGAAACTTCTTTTCAATTAGTTTTTCATCATGCCTCTACACTAATATATATGAAATTCATAGACAAACACATGAAGGAGATGTAAAGAAGGACAAAGGTACCTACCGTTCCTAAGAAAGTATTGTCCTTAAAATTACAATTCTTAAATGATACTACTTAGGAATTTGTGACTCAGAGATTGAGAAGAGCGGTAAAAAAACATTTAATGCAGCCAGACTGAGTGCTATCTTCTACAACCGCCCCACAATAAGAACGGCCAGTAAAGACCGATTGCCTGAATTTGCAAAATCCATGTGTATTTATCGATTTTAACTACCCCTGTGGAGCTAGTTATATAAGGCGTACAATTCAGCAAGTTCGTTATCGTATAACAGAACACCATCCGTCGTGGTTGAGCAAAGGACAGGTAAGAGTGGATTAAGAGTTCTATTCTCGCTCACTTGGATGACACAGATCATCAAGCAGAATTGAATAAAGCTTTTAAGGTTATCTGCTACATCCCATCAAATTCGCCACATGGTTTATAAGTGCGTCTTTTGCATATTGCTGAAGCCATTGCAATCCATGTTCACAAACCTATCCTTTGCATCCAAAAGAAACTTGTACAACCACGCTCGCTACCTTGGCCATCGGTATAGGGGCGTTTGTAGTAGAACATTGATAAACTGTCCATTTTTGTTTTTTCTGTTTTTTTGAACTTTGTATTCTACTTATTCTCAACATTGATCTCTTGATTCTTACATAACTATTATTATACTAACCATTCATCAACATATTCTGTTCGTTCTTTTTTTCATATATTATGTAACGTAGTAACTTCTTGATTTTGCGAATAATTACTTTGATTATTATTAATCCTATTTCTTCCAATTAGTCAATGTTAATTTATAACAGATATGTCATTACGTAACGTATCCACTCGATGAGTATTATTTCATTATTGTAAATCATATATATTAGTGTAGAGCCATGATGAAAAACTAATTAAAAAGTAAATTTAGAAGCTCCTTTAAAAAAGGTATCAAATCATACCAACAGACTATCAGCCATATTGTATCCAAATAATATCATTTAAAGGTTTAATTAATAAATTAGGAGTGTATTATTCAGAAGAAAAAAACTTTTAAATACATTTTGATAACGAAATGAACTAAATCTTCTCATTCATAATTAGGGGTACATCAAGTTTGATTCTGAGTAACTTTTGTTTTTCAAAAAAAAACAAATAAACAAACAAACAATCGATTCATTGTACACTTCCTAAAATTTCTGTCTGACAAAAAAATGTATCGGAAGAGAATGAAAAAAAGAAACAAACTAATACCAACTAATGTAATTTTTCATAAATCTTTTGTACTAATTAAATTAATTAGCAGAAAAATTCCATAAAACACTAATTATCGGAACAGAAATTAAATGAAATCTTAGTACGTAACTATTTCATTTTATTATATGTGAAAATTACATGTGAAATAATCTCAGCGATTGAAATTTAAATAATTCCATAGTTTCGTCAAGCTAACTTGTCTAGACTTCTTCAGGGTAATAATCTCGAAGAAGTTCAGATATTATGCAATGATCATTTTATTCTTTTAACTAATGAATGTTATTTGTTAAATTTGAATATTTGTTTTAATGTGAATTTTGAGGCATTGATAATATTCCGATACTTGTTTTAAATTAAGTCTTAGTTAGTAAATAAATATAGATTTATATATCTTTTATTAGTTCCTATAAGAATCCTAATTGATTAGTATAAATAAGAGAGGAAGAAAAGTTTGGATGCATTAGATACTTGTTTAATCCGAATTCTGGACATATCATGTGTACTTACCACATTCACTGCCACCTCTAAGAATTCGCTTCAACATATAAGGTCAATAGTTTACAATGTATAGAACTTCTAAGCATGGATGAAGTAGATGTTCAATGTTTCTCGGTTGTCAACACTAATCAAATTAACATTATTTTCTGAAGAAAATGTTCTGTGAATGAAGAAAAAGCTATGTGAAATCCACATGATTCACTTAAAAAGACAATTCTTTCAGCCTGATTGCAAAATATGAATTTCAAAGAAAATCACTTACTGGATGAATTAGAAATAACCGCTACAGCCCTCTGGAGTTAATATTCAATAAAAAATCATTAAAATGTTTATTTGTCATCTAAATACCATCGAATGCATTAACCCATGAGCCTAACAATCCGTTTTATACTACTTTTAAGTAGGTAAAGTGGTTTACCATAATTCGTAAAACGAAAAAATTCTCTCGGATTATTTTGAATAAATCGCTTTCTGTGATTCATTATTTGCATACCCGAAACCATCCGTCCCGAAATTTTGAACAATCTTTCAGTTATTTTGAATTATTCTAATATAACCAATTATTTTCAAGAATCTGCGGATTTAGTGAATTTTTCTCAAAGTTCCGAAAGCTGAAATTATTCAAATCGGTACTATATAAAATAATTATTTATAGTTTACTGCTGTTTTACGCATGCCAACAAACAATAACACCTTAAAATCTATACCGATTATATTAAACAATCAAATGAATAACAGAACTAATATACTTCAATGCTGTTCTGTGGTAAAAGTTAGTAAATGAAAATCAAAAGAACCCAACATTCGTATTTAGACAAGCCTTTAACGTCTAAGTAGTAGAGTCGTTCCGCTTCGAAACTGCTAAATTTCTCTGTTTAGAACTAATAATTTTGATATATGAATCATGACCACCTTATGCAATGATTAATAGTGAAGAAATCTTTCGAGTAATTTGCTGTGTATATCTAATGAATATTAACGATAGTAAATATTAAGAAACAAGTTTGAAATTCTGTACTGAGCGATTGGGATTTATTTACCCGTAACTTTTAATTAGCAGAATTTTCATTTGTTCGGTGTAGTAAAGTGATCGCTCATCCACCGTATGATAATCTTTAAAACACACGATTCCGAAGTCTAAATTATTTTTATGTTCTGTGATTGTGGTTAAGACTTCTCAAGTGTAACCTGAAACGTCGTGATAAATAGTATGTGATGCTACTTGCATCTAGTTGACAATTCATCTTTTTGTTAAGGGCATTGAACGAATTTTATAAAAATAAGATTTGTAAGCCTTTGGGGTTCAGTTATCTTCGGTCATTGACGTTCATATATTCGCCATGTTATTGTTTACTATAATACAGTCGAAATATATATCATGTTTTATTCGGCTAAAAGTCACAATCTTAATAAATGAAAGTTAGAATAAAGTTAATAAGTAGAAGACATACTAATATGTAATTTATGTCAACATCTACCAGGATTTCGTGGTAAAGCACATCCACAACATAAACTTATTTTAAATTTTTGTTAGTGGTGAAATAGATGATTTGACTCAACAAATCCTACTTGTTTACATTTGATTCCTAATTAGAAATGACAATAGGGATCAGAGTGCTTTCAAAACACACAAATCATTGTTTTAAGTTGTTAATATGTATTACAACTTATTTGACTGATTTGTTTGAGGAAATTGGACCTAGGATTGGTGTAGGATGTCATAGCAGAGGGCACTTATAAACTTCTATAGGTTTTGATCCAAGTCTCATCACACAGGTGATACCTTTAGACTAGTGAGTTGGAATTCAGTGATCCACATTACCGATTTCATTCAACTAACATTCTCTTAAAGCAATGATTTCGTAAATCAAGCACTTCTCTTACTGATGGTAGCAATTAATTTTCTGGATGTAGTGAATCGCCTCAGTGGTTCAACGATACCATGTTCTAAATTCCTTCTTTTAAATCTAGTGTGAATTCATGAGTTAAACAGGCCTAAATTATGATATATTAACTGTCCGTCGTCTCTTGCTTACAGACGGCTCTCAAGATGATGACATATAAGTTTGAAAAACGTCATACTAAAACTTCTTGAGGGTGAAATTTAGTCTTAGTAACCAAAACATATTTTAATCTTTGAATAACCCTTATCCTGATTTCTAAGATCAAAAAAGTTTTCTTTTCTGAAAGCTACCTAACTTCAACCAAACCCATTTTATGTGAAGGTGACTGAATATCATTAGCTTGTCGTACTGAGTATTGGTACAATATAAATCAGCTCAATGATTTTGAATAGAAAATACAAACGGTCTCATTTAGTACTTTTTATTCTACTGTTTTAACTCCGCCTGGAGCCCCCTGGGGCTACTGCCGGCCCCAAGTTGGTTAGGCACGGGATTAGCGACCCCATCCCGTAGAAAACTAACTCACTAAAGAGTGCTAATTTCTCTATTTTACCATTATGTTTGACTTCAGATTTCTTAGCAGCTATTTGTTAGAAATTCGACATTTAAGAAGAAACATAACAAGTATTTTTAATCCATATGAATAAAATGAAGAGTCACTGCATTTCTGATATAATCCTAAGCAGTAATTAGTTTAAAAAAATATTCAAATTTAGTTTAACACTACTTATGAAATAAATTTAAAAAGTCAGTATTAAATTTAGTAAGGAAGCCAATTAAACATACGGAAAATAATAATATCAATAACGATAAACCTAGTTGGCGCTCTTTTAACCATTTTTTCCATGGGTTAATGGAATTTATGTCTCCAACTAGTCAATTCTTTGATTAGCTCATTTTGATACTTTTTTTTAAAAAAAATTGATTCTTGTTTTTATATTCCAATAGATGTATGTATCTAGTTTACTTAACAGTTTTTAAAAGTTTAAAATCTTTTCTAGCATTTGAAAAAACAAACCAATTTTCAACTTATTGATGTACATTATTCAATATACTTCTTAAAACTTTGGTAATTAGCAACAAAATATAATGTTTTATACGGTTGTTCATTTATTACTATCCACTTTTCAGTTAAATTCAAATGTGAGATAGTTGTCATGACAACTTTACATTTTCAAAACTATTCAATGATTGAAATTATATTTCCATAAAGTACTTGTTTTTGTATTTTTTCATCAAAAGTTAAGTAATAAAATCAAGAAATAAACATTCATTGTTCTTTAATAGTTTAAGATGATTTTCAATAATGCAACTTACATAATAAAACAATTTAAAATCTCTTGAAAGTATACTATAATGGAGCCGAACTAATATATCAATTCAATATCCTATCCAAAACAGAAAAAAATAATCTTAATTTCTTTATTGTCACTATTGTTATGTTTCATCTAGAAAATGTCATAGGAATTGAAATATTTTTGTAAAAGTTGAACACATTCTTACGTTTAAGAATTGTGTTCTCAAGGGATCTAAACAACCCAATTAAATTGCCATTGGACACCGACAATGGAATACAGATATGAATAGTTTTTATTTCAATGTTTTAACTATTATCATGAATACTTGTATACCTTAGGATATGTTTAGAATTCACTTGACATAGAATTCAGACATTGAAATATTTCTATCAAATGTTTTGCTAAAAAATTCACTGAGTTTTCGGTTGACAGGTACATATCGTGATTTATTGCTTGTGAATGATGTAAATAATTAAGGTTTTGTGTTTCTGTAAAAATTATCGTGATTTTTTATGGAGTTTGCGTTGAAATTGTATGTTATCAGTATGGGACTTTGTGAGGAATAAAGTAATTTAACAGTTGAATTCACGAGTCAATCTAAGCCAGAACACCATTGAAAGCCTGGAAGTACTGAACGGCCGTTTTGTTCTAGTATGGAACATCTACAATCCCCTCAAAGCCCCATACTGATAATAATCATGTGCTCACTAGTGACTAGCTTCAATTTGGATTTCCTGGAGTTCTAGTGAGAAGTCGTAGCCAGTGAAGTCCGTGTCGGATATGGGACAGTTATCCACCTCAAAGAATTGATGAAAATTAATGCAAGAGCATGGATCGATTGAAGTTAAATATTAGTGCCGTTGGATGCCGGCTCATTGGTCTAAAGATTAAGCGTTCGCATGCGAGAGTACTATACTATCCACGAAAACCCTTTCTGATACAAACTATATAGTTTAATAAACTTTCGATAACTGGACAAATAAATTTGTATTACCATTGTTTACGAAAAGTGATTCATTACAAAATATTATTATTAATATGCTAACT